ACTTGAATCAGGCCACATTCCCTAAGGCAACTACTCAGCTATACCTAGTAGATTCCACCATGGAGTTGATTACCAGTCTCATCATGGGGAATACAACATCCAGCTGCCAAGCCACTCAAACTGGCCCAGCCAAGTTGACATAAAAACATAACCACCACATATGGAGAGAGTGGTGATTCTGTTCATCACCTTCATGGGTTGTTGTGAGAATAAGAGTGATCCTATTCTGAGATCCCAGCATCTCCAAGAGGGGTTTTAGTTTTCCTTGTAAAATCCCAAAGGTGGAAACAAAGCGATACTCTTCAAAAGATGAATAAAGAAGCAAATGCAGGTATATGTCAAAGTTGAAACCAAACCCCTGCTACAAAATGCATTCTGAATGATAGTGACCCTATAGGACAGAGTAGAACTGTCCCTTATGGTTCCCAAGGCTGTACATCTTCACCAAAGCAGACAGCCAGGTGTGTTAATCACTGTGTGACCGGAGCTCCTGAGGTACACACATACACTGGCTATTACTCACCACTAAGACACACGTTATGGAATCACTCCCAAGCATACTACTGAGGCGAAGGAACAAAATGTATAAAATTACATCATAGATAATTCCATTTATACAAATTGTAGAAGATGTAACCTAATCCAGCTCTGCACTAGAGGAGCTTCAGGGCAGCAGTCAGTTGAGTGGTGAGGAGCACAGACTCAAATCCTGGGATTGCTGTTACCTAGTAAATGCTTTTTCACACCACACAGATTGCAGTGAACAACTTTGTTTTTTACATCTGGAAAATGGAGGTAGTGTTGACATGTACCTCATATGGTTTGTGTGCATATGTGAAAACGAATAAGATAATGGGAACTAAGGGTTTAGCTCAGCACAATCACATAATAAGAAATTGTTTTCGCAAATGCTGTCATTGCCATCAAACTCTCTCAGAACACTTATGTCTGCTCTGAATCACTGCTGTCTCTGAAGTCATCCAACTCCACACATTGCTATATAGGAGGAGGATATGAAAATAGGACCCCACTCTCAGCTGATGAAAACCAGCCCAGCCCCAGCCCAGCAGCTCTGGGAGAGGAATCCTAACCCTGGCATTCCAGGTGTCCCCATTCAGTGATCTGGACTGAACACAGACGAGTCTCCATGGAGTCTCTGCTGGGCTGGGTTTTCCTCATTGCTGTTTTAAAAGGTCATTTCATGGAGAGCAAGTGCATGTGAATGGGCATGAGTGAGAGAAACAGTGGACATGTGTGACGGTTTCCTGACCAGGATGTCTCTGTGTTTGCAGGTGTCCAGTGTGAGGTGCAGCTGGTGGAGTCTGGGGGAGGCCTGAGTCAGCCTGGGGGCTCCCTGAGACTCTCCT